AACCACCACATGCTCTAATGAAGGAGCACCTAAGATGGCCCTAGATGACACGGAGAGGTTAAACAGGAGATCCTTCCTCTGAAATGCTGACTTGTAGGGTTTGCAAGTGGATCAAGAATATGCTACAGATCAGGACTGCTGAAGTCTGAAGCCCTTCAGAAGATTAGAGAAGAGACTGATACAGGACCATCTGAAGCCCAGGAATCTAAAAAGAAGGGCCATCCTTTCCCCAAACCCACCCCAAGGATAAAAGATAGCACCAGAGCCAAGGATACAGAGAAGGGGGAAGAGAACCTCCTTCAGCTCAGGTCAGAATTTGAGGATTTGCGAATTTAATGCCTTCCTCATCCAGAGACTCCAAGAGGAATGACCTGAGTGTGGGCGAAGGGTGTAAGAGCCAGCCAGAGTTACCTTAGCTAGGCATCATACACTAAGAAAGGCTTCAAGATAACTAATCTCAACCTAGGACTAACTGGAAATGTTAACTGTGGCTGTTTGGGAATCAATGTTATGGCATGGAAGTGTCAGGATATCTCCGGCTCACAAACGACTATGGACAGATGGTGTTGCTGGAGCCTAATAACCTGGACGGTAATTGGAGCTGCAATGCAGATATATGTCCCCTGAGTATAAGTACACTACTGGCCCATTCTGACTGCTTGTGTGTTTGCTGTAATTGGCAAACACTATTTTATTTTATGGAGAGAGTCTTGGACAAAGCCTGTTAAAATCAGATATCATATGAGATTCCCAAAAGTGTATATGGGGTCAAAGAGTTTTCTGGAATGGAGGACTAAGCACCTTACCTGTGTGGCAGTGGGACCATCCTAGCCCGAGGAGAAAGATGACAGTTCAGTAAGAGATTACCAAGTTGTGTGGGCACTTTAGGGACATGGTTAAAACCTGCTATGTCCCCTCTTACCTCAAGTATGGCAGTAATTCCCTTTCTGCCACACTGCATACCATCATCCTCAATTTACTCTACATATCCACCCCAGAATAACATTCTTAATCTATCAGTCACTGATTTGACTAATTTTTGAGCAAGAGAATGACAAAATGGCTCACCATTGCCTGGAGTAGAAACTCTTTAGCCCAAATTACTTATTCTCTAATACTTCATAAAAGAAACTCTTTCTTCTAACCAAACTGGATCACCTGTTATTCCTAGAAAACAAATTATGTTTTCTC